GAGTGGATGGGGTTGGGATAAATGAAAGGGAGAGTGATAGAGATGGAAAGAAGGGATGACTTTGATCAAGATGCATTCTATTCATAAATTGACATGTTGATCTGAAACTCCTTTGTACAACTAAAGAGAGAGAGAGAGAGAAAAGAATGAAAAGAAAGAAAGGAAGGAAGGAAGGAAGGAAGGAAGGAAGGAAGGAAGGAAGGAAGGAAGGAAGGAAGGAAGGAAGAAAGGAAGGAAGGAAGGAAGGAAGGCTGGGAAGGTGGCTCAGTGGTAAAGCACTTGCCTTGCATGCAAGAGGCCCTGGGTTCGCTTCCTCAGCATCACATAAGCAAAAAGAAAAAAGCCGGAAGTGGCGCTGTGGCTCAAGTGGTAGAGCGCTAGCCTTGAGCTGAAGAACTGAGGGACAGTGCCCAGGCCCAGAGTTCAGGCCCCACAACCGGACCCCAAAAAGAAAGAAAGAAAGAGAGAGGGAGGGAGGGAGAGAGAGAGGGAAGAAGGGAGGGAAGGAAAGGAAAGAGGGAATGAAGGAAGGAAAAGATCTGTTAAGATAGCTGTGGGATTGAATTCCAAGAATATCCCCGCTATTTGTATTATTATATCCTGATTATCCATTATCTTTATATTTTTATGAGCTCATTATTGTTTTATTGTGGTGTTGGGAATCAAACCCAGAGCCTTACCAATGAGTTTACCCTCCAGTCTCTAGCTGGCAGTAGACCCAGTGCCATTTCCACAACCATCTACCAACAAACAGCTAAAAACAGCAGAACTGGTGGATAATATTCACCTTTTACTGTGTGCTGAGGGAAAGAGCTTATTTATTTTTAGGGGAGCCACAGCATAAACCATTCGGCTAGTTGTAAATCCACTACTCCCACAATAGCAAAGCTAAGCCCAGTCTCATGGAATTGATAGCTGTATTTCCCAATGTTCGGGGTCTTTGGAAGTTTCTTGAACAGACTCAACTTCACTTGTGCTTTGATCCAGACGCTAGATAATCATATCTCAACTCCTCATCCCCTGCCACTCCACCAGGCTCCAGTTTTTTTTTTAACATTTTTATTGTAAAAATACTGTACAGAGGGGTTATAGTTACATGAGTAAGGCAATGAGTCCATTTCTTATGGAGCATTATTACCCCCTCCTTTGTTTTTCCTCTGCTATCTCTTCTCTCCCCACCTCCCCAACTCCTCCCTCCCACCACTCACCCCCCTGAAGTTATACAGTTCATTTTCAACATGGTGTCTTGTACATCTCATGGTTATAATGGGTCAACCTGTATCCTTGTTTCAGCATTTTGTTATTCCCCTTCCTCCAACCCAAATTAGAAAAACGTATATACAAGATGCAGGGCACCGGAATCAAATACACTGACATGTATACCATGGAGGAAGAACATACAAAACAAACAAAAAATTACATGGTACATTAAAAACAACAGCAACAAAGATAAAACCTCTGTGTCCCTATCTTGGGGTTCATTTTGCTTAGCATCATCTTATATGGTCATATGTACATAACTTTTGACCTTTTCTTCTTGTCTGATAAGATTATTCTAGACGTATACTGGTAATTGCAAATAAGGGAAACCATGGGACCTATGTTTCTTTGGGTCTAGCTTACTTCACTTAATATAATTTTTTCCAAGTCTTTCCATTTCCTAATAAGTGGGGCAGTGTCATTCTTTCTGATGGAGGCATAGAATTCATATATATATATATACATTTTCTTGATCCATTCATCTACTGAGAGGCATCTGTATTAGTTCCCTAGCTTAGCTGTGGTAAATAATTCTGCAATAAACATAGTTGTGCTGATAGCTTTAGTATGGCCTTGTTTGTGATTGTTTGGGTAAATGTCCAAAAGTGGGATTGCTGGGTCATAGGGGAGCTCTATGTGGAGTCTTTTGAGGAACCTCCATACTACTTTCCAAAGTGGTTGAACAAGTTTACACTCCCACCCACAATGAAGTAAGGTTCCCTTCTGCCCACATCCCCTCGAGCATCTGTGGTTATTAGAGTTCTTGATTATAGCTATTCTAACTGGGGTGAGGTGGTATCTCAATGTTTTGATTTGCATTTCTTTTATGGCTAGGGAGGTTGAGCATTTCTTCATGTGACTATTGGCCATCCTTCTTTCCTCTTCAGAGAAGTCTCTCTTTAAGTCTTTACAGTTTCCAGTTTTCTCAGTGTTGATTTGTATGCATGTGTGTATGCATACACACATGTGCGCACATAGGTGCAAATGTGTGCTGGTACTGGGGTTTGACTCAGGGCCTAGGCACTGTTCCTTTGCCTTTCAGTCAAGGCTGATGCTCTACCACTTGAATATTTCTACTTTGGCTTTTTGTTAGTTAATTGGAGTTAAGAGTCTCTCATATTTGTTTTCCTGGGCTGGCTTCAAACCAGATTCTCACCTCCTGAGTAGCTACAATTAGTAGCATGAGCCAGCAGCACCCAGCACTTTCTGTAGTTTTGACACTGAACAGTTTCAGATCTTGCAGTTGGGTGGTTGAAATGCCTATTCTAGAAGCTGTGGTCAGTCAACTTGAGATTCCAAAAGCTTTCTATCAGAATAATGGTGAGTAAGCTGGGCGCCTGTGGCTCACGCCTGCAATCCTAGCTACTCAGGAGGCTGAGATCTGAGGATCTCAGTTCAAAGCCAGCCTGGGCAGGAAAGTCTGTGAGACTCCTATCTCCAATAAACCACCAGAAAACCGAAAGTGGCGCTGTAGCTCAAGTGGTAGAGCGCTAGCCTTGAGCTGAAGAGCTGAGGGACAGCATTCAGGCCCAGAGTTCAAGCCCCACAACCAACCAAAAAAAAAAAAGAATAATTGTGAGTAATTTCCAGGTAGAAAGAGGCTCCTGCAAATTACTTTTGTAGACATCACACCCATGGATGTCCAGCCTGCCCTGAATCACTCTATACTCAGAGCAGAAAGTGATGGTGTCAGAGAACTCTACAAATAAGGCAAATAATCACCAATCTGTGGAGTGCACCTCCTTTTGCATTAGAACATGCTATAGTGATGACATCATGTTAGTTGCCAAATTTCCATGGTCTCTAAAGGGTATGTCATAGAGCAACCCTGACATAGGTGAGTCAGATAAGTTCAAGCAACCTCTTATAATGCCTCTTCCCTTTTCGGATTCTTTCTTTGTAACATGATAAAGGTAGAGTGGATTATCTAGTTTGCTTAGACAATTGATACAAAATTCTAAATATCTGTTCACTTAAGAGGCGATAACAAGTAGATTCGTTGAGTATTTACCTATTACATGAAGAAGCCCTATGAAGGTTGGTTCCATTAATATTCCAGAATGGTTAAGTGATCTGCCCAAGATTGCTCACAGAGTAGATATTTTTACCTAGGCAGCATAACCCTGAAATATATGTTCTTAAGAACTAAAAATAATAATGAAAACACTATGAAGCATTCATCCAGGCAAAAGATTCCAGATCATACCTTTCTAGATGTTTCCATTTTTGTCCATAAAAAGTATGTGTGTCAGCACTCAGGCATCCCATGGCAAAGACTCATCTATCACCTACCTAAGTCCCAACATGTCAACTCTGGACAGGCCCTAACACATCACCTAGGCTGAGGATTCTTAACTCATCATCTTTGTGCATGTATTAAAGGGTCCAATTCGGTGGGAAATGTAGATGTAGATATAATTTCAAGGGAAGAGTTCATAGTTTTTTTTCCCAGATTTTCAGAGAGGTCTACGAACTTTTAGAGACCAATGCTTCTTTTTAGTTGGTAAGCCTGAGACTTTGGACATGGAATCTCATCATTTCTTTGAAGTTTTCCTCATTGATAATCACCTCTGCTCTGCCTGTCTGTTTATCTGCTGTGAATGAAAACAGCCCAAGATATTTCATTCAGATATTGTCCAATCTGCTTCTATCTGCCTTCATTCCTTGTCTCCATAGATGTTGAGACACTTAAGCATTTGTCTCTCACTATTTGCTTGAAATAAACACCAAATAAAACCAACTGTAACTAAACTATCTGAGAAAAAGTAGATCAACCAAACTCAAACCAAAAGAACTCCAATTAGTAGAAATACATCCTCAATAGAAAATTCATGATTGCAAGAGATAAAATTTTAAATAGATGCATCACAACTAATTCATCCATTCCTCTTCAGGAAGGTGAGATTCAAAGGGCATTAATTCACAGCCAGTTTGAACAGAAAAGTCTGAGAGACTCCATTTCCAAATGACTAGCAAAATATCCAGACTAAAGTTGGCTTAAGTGGTAGAACACCAGCCTAGCAAGCAAACCAAGCTAGAGCATGAGGCCCAGAGTTCAAACCTCAGTACCATAAATAAACAAACTAACAATCCACTCTTTTAAATGTCTATTTCTATTAAATGATTTTTATTTTAAAACTCTTAAGATGAAAAAAGTAGAAATGGTTTAATTGTCCTATATTGAAATTTGATCTTAGATTTAAAAAATGGTTTAAGAAGAATTAAGGAGTCCAGGCACTGGTGGCTCACGCCTGTAATCCTAGCTACGCAGAGGCTGAAATCTGAGGATTGCAGTTCAAAGCCAGCCCAGGGAGGAAAGTCCATGACCTTCTTTTTTTTGGGGGGAGGAGTCCAGGTCATGGGGCCTGAACTCTGGGCCTGGGCGCTGTCCCTCAGCTCTTCAGCTCAAGGCTAGCACTCTACCACTTGAGCCACAGCACCACTTCCAGCTTTTTTCTTTTTACTTATATGGTGCTGAGGAATCAAACCCAGGGCCTCATGCATGCAAGGCAAGTGCTCTACCACTGAGCCACCTTCCCAGCCCCAGTCCATGACATTCTTATCTCTAATTAACCACCAGAAAACTGGAAGTGGTGCTCTGGCTCAAGTGGTAGAGTGCTAGCCTTGAGCTGAAGAGCTCAGGACAGTGCCCAGGTCTACAGATCTAGAGTTCAAGCCCCACAACTGACAAAAAAAAAAAAGAAGAATTAAGGAAAAAACTTTTTTCACAAAAAGGCAACTATTGTCCATGCTTTTAATACTGCAGTTATACATATGGGCCAAAGCATCAAATAACAGACATCAAAATATCTGTCATTAGCTTCCAAACTGTATCTCCAATTTGGAGGTCAAACTTCTCACACCTGTGCTTGGTAAACAATGCCCTGACAAGGGAAGCAATCAGACAACAGCTTCCATATAGACTCAAATGGCCAAGCAACTGCATGTTTTAACACAGTAAGTTCAACAACAAAGCAAAATACCGAGCAGTAAAAGTCATGGGTGTCAAGAATTTCCCAGCGCTACCCGACGGTTATGGGAGAATCTCATCTGTACTCTGGCAAAAAAAAAAAAAAGTCCCTTTTCGATTTCTTTTGCCTCTCCAGTGGGTCCCAGGAATTACTTTCCCATGTCAGTTTCAGGGCTAGGTACCCACTTGTCCACCCAGCATGGAGCCCACTCACTGATAAGTCTCATCTTCCTTCTCTGTTCTGGGGCTCCTGGGATTGCCCCTGATTACATAGTCCTGAAAGACAACTGTTAAGTTGGGTAGAATTTTTAGAGATCATACAGCCATTATTGAAAGTTAAGTTATATAAAAATTATAAACCTGTGTTTAAATATATGACGTTAATAAGAGATAATAGGGTGGAACTCATTACTCCTAACTAGTTGAGTTTACTAGGTTCTGTGCTTCCTCTGGCATTTCAAGTAGGAACAGATAGGCTGAGTCCCACAGCATCTTTCACAGATTGAAATTGGCCAATGTGGGATGGTTTATATCACAGAAATGTGCAAGTGCTACAAATCAAGCTTCACTTTTACTTTGGTCGATGGTCTAGACTTAACAATGTGATGCTAATCGTGAAGATTATACTTAAAACTGTAACAATTCTAGCAGTTATATTGAAATGGGCATAGAAGGTGGAGACAGTTGTCTTTCTGATTAAGCAAAGAGTCACATCATTGACACATGAGCAGTTTTCCCACATCTTTGTTATTCCATTTTCATGTTACTTGTTCACAAAACTCAGCCAGCATTCATGTCAATAGCATACTTGTTATCTGATTGCAACCGTAGGAACTCTAGATACAATGCACCGTCTGGAATTTACACTAAAGTGTATTGATGCTATGTTATCCTTTATGACTAGTATACTATATATTCTTTTTCACCTTTAAGTAGTTGTACGCCAGGGTTACCATTCAACATGTCTTTGTGAGTACAATGCATCTTGAGCAATATCACCCTTTTCGTTATTCTCCTCCATCTTTTCAAACCCTCCCTTTCCCTTCAATGCTCCTAGTTTCATAGTATATGCATTGAATATCATGGCTGCATCCTCCACTCCCTTTCTACATACACTTTATAAAAGTAAAATTCATACTAAACTTGAGAATGCATAGACATGTTTTGTTTTTCAGAGATCCACTTCCGACTTCCTTTAGAAGCCTCTCTGGCTCTTTCCAGAAGACCACCAGCGCCGTCACCACCACCAGGTCTTTGGGCTAAGTGAGGTCATGGTGAGTCCAGGGAAGCGCCTGGAAACTTCTGGTCCAAGGAGAGGAAGGCTGGTGTTTACAGCAAGGGCTGGCTCCAGAATGGCTTTTGTCTACGCAGGGCCTTTATTTATTTTCAAACCAGCCTAAGGCCTTTGACCCCAGTTTGAAGTTAAAGCACAGGAAGAAAGGTCCTTTTCTTTCATGGAGATTGGCCACATAGTTGGCTAGGGGAGAAATTCAGGATGCTGTGAAGGCCTAGCCCAGGACATCCCAGAACCCTGGAATGACGGTTCCTGTCAAAACTGAGAAGAGAACCACACCACCACCCTCCCCCACAGCTTCTTCCTGGAGGCTGCCTAGTCTTCCAGTCTTCAGGAAGCCCACACTCACAAACATACCTGCCTAGATGAGGTCATGCTGGTGTTCTATGTGGGGCATATGTATTTCAGTATTTTTATCCATGCATACATGACATCACAAATAATGCCCATAATCCATTTGTTGATTGATCCATTCATAGTGAATCCAGGAAATAAATAATGAGCAGCCTCTTCCATGGGTCAGGCATCATTCTAGAGCTGTGGGTACAGTGGTTACCCAGACACACCATTGCTGACTTCATGGCTCACTGTCAAGTAGAAGATGTGAACATGATATTGGCTTCGCATTCAGTTGGATGCAAACTGTAAATGCTTCCTCTACCTCATGCAAGCTGAATCCACGTTTCTCTTCCCCAAAACATGATTCTTTGGAAATGTCTATAATCCAACAATAATGATACTCAGCCCTTCTGTAACAATTGCCATGTTATTTATATAGATTAACTCAGTTGATCCTCCCAACATCCCCCCAAACTCTCTAACCATACCCATTTGCCAGTGATGTCTGTGAGGTCATACATTTAACCAGGAGTAGAGTTTTTCGGTGCTATCAACACACATGGCAACAGCATATTCAGGTGAATAAGAACTATGGAGCTAAAGTTTTTCCAATTTAGCAAAAGTCCAGTAAGTTTTATACACTATTTGTAAAATGAACCAATCTTGAACTAGTATACTATCTCTATCATTTTCTACCTATGGGGCTTGGGATAAGAGTTCATTGCTTATTTAATATCTCTGAACTTTTTGCTTCATATGTGTTTTATGAATGGTTATACTATTCAATTATTCTTGGGAGGATATTAAGAAGAGTCAGAGCTTGGTAAGAAATGTATGCATTATCCTGCCCATGTAATTGTAACCCCTCTGTACAGTATGTTCTCAAATAAAATAAAATTAAATTAAAAAAAAAGAAGAGTCAGAAACATAACAAGTGTAGCACAGTATTTGGGTATACAGGCTCAAATCTAAGCCATTCTACTGAGGATGACGAAGACCCCAGTCTACCCAGAAGCCCGTGGTCTCCATCATTACCTTGCTCACTGGTATTTGGACTTAGAACATAGATGTGTTAAGTATTTGATAATTGCTTAGTTGATTAGATGGTTACTTGGTTGGCTAGTTGTTCAGTTGGTTGGTTGGTTGGCTAGATTCGCAGATGAATGAATGGATAGACAATGACAGATCAATGGAAGAACAGATGGACATATGAATGGCTATGCCTTCTCTGTCCCAAGGAGCTCAACTCAGACTTTTTCTCCTAGAGCTTCTCATACCACATATGTATCCATTTCCCCCTGAGAAGACTGGCAGAAGTTAAAGCACAAAGATATGGTGGCCGGGGGGGGGGCACTTATTTTACCACATCCTCATGATTCTATCATCTGGGGAATTGAGATACTTAAATATTACTCTGAATATCTAGGCTCCAAAATATTCGAAAGGTTTCACCTGTTTCCTGATCCCCTTTGTCCATAGACCAAACATCACTGAACATATTTCAGAGGCATGGTGGGAGAGTAATACTTGTATAAACCAAATTTCCTATACCTGGAGTTTCTGACCTTTTCTCCTCCTTAGGAAAAAAGGAAGACCATCATAAGGAAATGTTTCTCTTCAAAATACTAAGTTCTAAAAGAAAAATATGTAGCCAAAATATGTCATTGCCAAAAGCACTGATTTTCAGATCAGCCTGGATCCCTGCCTATGTCAAATCTAATTTGACCCTTGATTACTTCATCTGGAAGGGTAAGCAATGGTTCCTTGTTTGTATGGTAATTTGGATATCACACACCCTATACCACAGGTGAAATATTTGGTACAATGCTTAGTTCTGACTCAAAAAAATTAATAAACATGACTATTCCAAGTCATATCTACTACCTATTTGAGATTAAACAGAGACTAACTTTACCTACAACAACTTATTTTAACAAATAAATATGATGTTCATTCTCAATTAATATCTGTAAAGCACTTTCCACATTTGTGAGCAGCTCTGTCACCTGACAGCCCAACCACTTATGAGCTAAACACAGGTAGACTCTGGTTGTAATCAATTCTCCCCCTCTTAATTGAGAAAGGGTCAAGATCTACATCCAAAGTTTCATTCATTTAAAAAATTCTCTCACTCGAACCGATCTTCACTGGACACCTGCCATGTGCCAGGCTCTGGGAAGCCAGAAGTGAATGACTCCAGCAAGGCCTGACTCACTCTGCTTCTACTATAGGTGGTTCTCGGGGTCATTTCAGATAACCAAAAAAAAAAGCAAAATTAAATCACAGAATGATGTAACTATGTTAAGTACTTTGAGGAAGAACTATAAGAATCTACAAGCACACACAAAAGGGAAAACCTAACCTAAGGAAATGAGAAGAGAATGATTTTCTCTAACTGGAAAGAGAGAAAGGCATGCCACAGGACTTGGAAGAGGGTCAGAATATCAGGCTGCATAATCCCTTAGGACTTTAAAACAACATAAAATGCAAATCCTCCAAGCCTGGCTTGGTTTGGTTATTCTTCCCTCCACCCACTGGCATCCCAAGCTTAATGTCCTAGGACAGACAAGTCAGTTTTGTTCTGCCTTATGAATAACTATCTGTTTGGTCACCAGGATTACAGTGCAGCTGCCATTGCAGCCTGGAGAAAAAAGCAGGTGTAGCTAGCTCTAGTGCTGCCTGAGACCATGTTCAGAAAATGCAGGGGCATTCCTACAGGGATCTCTATGTAGCAGATGCTCAGTGAATTCCCAGATGAGCCAATATCAAAAGTTCTCAATATCCAAAAAAGTTCGAGAACAGAACAAAACAAAGCAGAAAAAAAACGCACCATCATATATAAGATTGGGGACATGAAAACAAAAACAGGCAAAGAAGTTAAGGGTTATATTCATCACGTGGTACTCTAAACATGAAAGGTTACAAGAACAGGCAGAAGAGAATGCTTATTTGAAAACTCCTTTTCACTGATTATGGTAAATATTTGAAATTTCGAATGAAAATAAAATTGGAGGTGAAGTGAATCAAATAAGTATTCTAAATACATGAATGGAAAGCAGCTCCTATCATTACTGATGCATAGGAACTAAAACAGCTTGATGTGCAAATTCGAACTTCTCTCAAGCTATTTGTTTCAAAAGATGTCCTTGGAAAGCCAGGCGCCAGTGGCTCACACCTATAATCCTAGCTACTCAGAAGGCTTAACTCTGAGTGTCCTGGTTTGTAGCCATCCTGGGCAGGAAAGTCCATTAGACTCTTTCCTCTAAAAGGTGCTGGAAGGGGAGCTGTGACCCAAGTAGTAGCCTGAGTGCAAGAGCTAAGGGACAGAGCTCAGCCCTGAGTTTAGGCCCCAGAGTGGTACAATATAAGAAAAAGATATTTAAAGAAAGAAAGAAAGAAAGAAAAGCATACTTGCAAGAGTATGATGTTCTTGAAAGCTTTTCCATGACACCAAAATCAAGCTATTTGTCAGGTACTAGCTGCTCATACGTATATAATCCCAGCTACATGGGAGGCTGAAATCTGAGGATAATGTTGGAAACCAGCCCAAGTAGACAAATCCAAGAGACTCTTATCTCCTATTAGCTAGCAAAAAGCCAGACGTAGAGGCATGTCTCAGATAGTAGTGCATTAGTTGTGAGTACCCAGCAAGAGCATAAAAACAAGAGCTAGGCCTTGGGTTCAAACCCTAGTGCTGACACAAACACACACAAAGAACACAGTTCCTCGCATGTCTGTGATCTTTCTGCTGCCACCATTCAACTCTGGGTACCATGACAGATGAAAGCCACAAGGCTGTGGCTGGTCAATTCCCTGCCCTGGTGTCTACCGTAAGCTCCAAGGTCCAGGAGTCATTTAAAATTAATTTTAACTGATGTTCTCTATGCCATCACAGCATTCTTCCATTTCCTTTCAGGAAAGATGGTTCATCTTTTTTTCCCCCCTAGGTTAAGCTACCCCTCCTGTGGTATACTATGCCTCCATTTTTCTTGTAAGATATCCTACAAAATTAGTTCTCCTCTCCCATGGTGCAACTCCTTTGAACACTAACAAAGTTGAACAAAATGAATACTAAGATACTGAAAATAATTAGAGCTCCACAATCATGTTCTGAATTCATCACTTTTGATCCTTCAGAATCAGTATGTTACTGTCAACCCATTACACAAGTTGCTGAAACAGATTTGTAGCATCTATTTATGACCATTTTAGTGGAAGCCTCTCTCCCAGAGATGAGCCCTGTCCTTGTCAATATAATAGAATTGTTTGATGCACACATCTGAGAGTCATGAACCCCAATCTCTCCTTTTTTTTTTTTTTGGTAGGTTGTGGGGCTTGAACTCTGGGCTTGGGCGCTGTCCCTCAACTCTTCAGCTCAAGGTGAGCGCTCTACCGCTTGACCCACAGTGCCACTTCTGGTTTTGTAGTGGTTTATTGGTGATAAGAGTCCCACTGACTTTCCTGCCTGGGCTGGCTCTGAACCGAAATTCTCAGATCTCAGCCTCCTGAGTAGCTAGGATTACAGGTGTGAGCCACAGGCACCCGGCTTCAATCTCTTCTTAACTATTTAACTAAGGTAGACAATCCACTTCCATTATTTAAATCTCAACAGAACTCAAAATAATAGTATCTTCCTCAAAATGTTGTTTAATTACACAAGACAATCGCCATGAGGGATTGGCATAAGATCTAATATATAACACAAATTCGATGTCAACTGCTGTTTTTAAGATTCTCTGGTCAAAAAGTCATCTGGTGAATGATGCATAAGACAGAACAAATGCCAGAGCCTCCTGTTGTGGGTGTGGTTTTTTAGAACGCTCTCTTGAGGTCAGCATCTTTCTTTCAAACTGCCTGTTGGAGAATAAGGAAATCCATTTAGAGAGCTCTGTGTGTGTGTGTGTGTGTGTGTGTGTGTGTGTGTGTGTGTGTGTGTGTGTTCTCATGCTTTTTTATTAGGATAAAAGGTTTGAAAATGAATAGAATGCATTTCAAGTTGTAAGCAATAAATGGCATGTTTATGCATAGGTGTGTTCGAATGAAATTTAAAATGCCTTTCATACTGAGAATCACAGTGGAAAAAGACAAATAAAAGGTTTGAAATCTGCTTCTCTAGCCGGATCCAAAGCTTTCAAACACACTTTCATATACGTGCACACATGCGATTTATAAAAGATGTTACTGCCCCCTGCTGGACCTCTTGATTTCTCACTAGATCAAGTGGTATATTAGTTTATTTTCTCATTACTAAAGGGCCAGCATCCATTCTCTGCCTGCTCTCCTGCATTCTCTACCTTCAGGAAGCTCATTTTGAAGAGACCTATCCATTAGTCTACACTAATGGCCTGGACACTGAGTCAGGGGCAGCCTGAGAAATGAGAGGTGGAGTTCTTACTTTCAAATTAGTTTTGAAAGCCCAGTGAGTGACTTCTCCTTATACCTGCTTCCCAGGGTCACCTAAGAAACTAAGCCAGCCTTCCATCAGACTCAGCCACATCTCATTCCTGATTCTGCCTCTAACCCATTACAGCCTGACTAAATATCCACCTGCCTACCTGTCTGCTCCTCCAGGAAGCAAGCCATATCCTCTCTCATAGATGGAAACTAGACTAGACTAGATAGATAGATAGATAGATAGATAGATAGATAGATAGATAGATAGATAGATAGATAGATAGATAGATCCAGATAGATAGATAGATAGATAGATAGATAGATAGATAGATAGACAGATAATAAAAATATGCTTTATAGTCATTGGGAGAACAAGGTGGCTTGGGGAGAGGGGAAAAGAATGACAGATAGTAGTATACTGAAATACATTGTGTCTATATGTGAAGTCAACACAAGGTAACCCAGGGAAAGCTGTTGGAACCTACTCACTTTTACTTCACTATGACCCAAACTTTGGTTAGATGTTTCTCAATCATCCAACCACACTTGTCCATGAAAATCCCAAGCAGAGGAATGACTAGGGTTTAAGATGTAAAGAACTCTGCATGGTGTGTCCTCTGCAGGGATAACTTCAGACCCAAGGGTCTGAACCAGTCTCCAGCCCACAATTGGGAGGAGGGCTGCACTTCTTAACCTAATGCTTACTTGCAGGAAAGAAAAATGAGCTGCATTGTGACTGATCAAACGTAATATGAGAAAAAGTTCACCATTTCACTTCAAAATACACTGATGGGAGAAGTCATCAGCCAGGCACTGGTGGCTCATGTTGGTAATCCTAGCTACTCAGGAGGCTGAGATCTGAGGATGGAGGTTCAAAGCCAGTCCAGGCAGGAAAGCCTGTGAGACTCTTATCTCCAGTTAACCACCAGAAAACTGCAAGTGGTGCTGTGACTCAACTGGTAGAGTGCTCACCTAGAGCTGAATTGCTCAGGAACAATACCCAGGCAGAGTTCAAGCCTCACGACTGACAAAAAGAAAAAAAAAAGAATATAATGCAATAAGCTAGGTACCAGTGGCTCATACCTATAATCCTACTCAGGAAGCTGAGATCTGAGGACCAAGATTCAAAGCTAACCTGAGCAGAAAAGTCAGTCAGACTCTTATCTCCATTAAACTACTCAGAAAAAGCTGGAAGTGGCACTGTGGTTCAAGTGGTAGAGCACTAGCCTTGAGCACAAAGAGACTCAGGGACAGAACCCAGGCCCTGAGTTCAAGCCCCAAGACCAGCAAATAGAAAAAAAATTAAAATTAAAAACACTGAGTTAACTTCCTTTATTTTTAAATAAAAAACCCAGGCTTTCACACATCTCCCATCATCCTTTCTATTCTCACGCTGCTTCTTTCTAAAACACGTATCCCTCCATTTCTCTCTCATTTGCTTAGAACCCTTCTATGGCTCAGTCTTACCCCAAGGAGAAGCCCAGAGTCTCTGCGGTCTGTCTCCCTCCCTTCTCTCCCCTTTCCTCTCTACTTTTCTAATTCTGATCATCTTGCTGAACCCATTCCCCTCCCTGGATCTTTGCTTGGTAGATTCCCTGTCTGTAGTAAAGGCTCAGCTTAGACATCACTTCCTCCAGGAAGCCCTCTTGATGCCCGTACTCACATGCTCTGTCAAGTCCTCACCCCTGAAGACCCATATACTTTGTACTGCCTCCTATCATAATGCTGTGTTTGCTATCCATCTACCACAGCATGTTATTGAGTGACATGCTTTCTTTTCACTCAACTGAGTGAAGTGAGAAACCAGGCCCACATATGCTTTAACCTTCACTGACTCTCACTGGAGGAGATCTCTCCTCTTTACTGCTTTCTCCATTTCTCTGATTGCTCAAACAGTACATTCTTGGTGCCAGTCTATCTTCTGCCCTCCCTTATACTTGCTAATATCTCTGTTCAACATTGCCAGATCAGGCCTAGGCTGGGTGTGTGTGTGGTAAACAACAGGACCCAACTTCAATTTGAGGCATTGTTTGGTCTCCATTGTATGTGCTATTATTGATGCAATTCTGTTTATGGAAAGCAACACAACTTTATCATATTTATGGATCCGTCGTTTTAAAATAAATTTACATAAGTAAAGCAGTAAAACCATTTCTTTCTTTAGTAACTCACTTGGTTTCTAAGTTTGGCAAATGTTGTTTGAGTCATGTCTGTGGAGCTAACTGCAGACACACAAGCACGGGCGTGTGTTTGCATACATGGGGATGGGAGTCCTGAATGGCAGAAATCCTGTCATTCACATTCTCTTCTTGAGTTAGGACACCTAAAGCACACTGTGTCTGCATTAGCTAATAATGTGACTGGAAGAAAAGCTACATTTATGTTTCTCAGTTCACTCACCTATAAGAAGAAAAGGATGAAATTGGAGTGTTTGGTTAGGTTATGTTTCCATTTCCCAGATAGCAGACACCGACTCTTCTCCTGCTCATGCCATATGGAAATGCCATTGCAGAAAAGGAATGTGGGGGTGCATAAAAGTTACATGAACTGCACAAAGTCACCCTACAATTTAACATCAAAAGCCACATTTTCCTTCCCCAGGCAGTCTGCTCCCCAATCATTCTGACACCATCACCCCTGTGCATTGCCTGCCAAACTTCTGTCAGATAAATTACATTATATTTACAAAGCACACACATAACATAAAGTTACTAGTGGAAAAGCAAATAAAAAAAGGATAAAAGAACATGCTATTGGGTAGAAAAGTCCAATATCTGAAAGGTAAGAAAGCACATTACCAGGTTTTCACAAGGCTGCAATTCTGAACTTGATTTATGTTTAAATTAGAGGCAAAGAGCCGGTTAGCTCCCCACGCCAGTCCACAGAAGCTTAGGGAAGAGAATTAACATGAAGAGGGCAATTGGTAGCTATGAAACAGGTATACTAAAACCTACTTCAAGAAAGGACAAGTCCAATCACCACATAACTCACTTTCTGGTGATCATGAATAAAAATGAACTATCAACACAGTTCCAAGGAAAAGTTAGCCTATATTGTATGTATGTGTGTGTATGTGTGTGTGTGTGCATGTACATGCATGGGGGAGTATGTGTGTCTTGCTGGGGATGGAACTCAAGGTTATGCAGGCTACGCAAGCTCTTTTTTTTACTGTTTTATTTTATTTTATTTTTTTTTACTGTTCTAAAATATGGAGTTTTTTTATTTTTGTTTTTGTTTGGTAAGCTCTCTTATATTGAGTTATATTGAGTTACTAGGCCTAGCTCACAGAAAAAAAATCTTGACAGAACTTAAGCTCACTTATTTATTTATTTATTTATTCATTCATTCATTCATTCATTCATATGCTGGCTTAGGGCTTGAACTCAGGACCTTTAGTTCAAAGAGCTTTTTTATTCATGGGTGTCACTCTACCATCTAAGCCACACCTCCAGTCCAGTACATTTTTCTTTGTTTTGTTTTGTGTGCTTTGTTGTTTTTCCTTGACTTGTTTTTGTGCTGGTTTGTTGGAGATAGAGTTCGCAGACTTTTCTGTCCAGTATAGCTTCCAACCATGATCCTCAGATCTCAGCCTAGTGAGTAGCTAAGATTATAAATGTGAACAACGCACAGTAGGGCCAGAGTTGTAAAGTGAGATTTTCAAATTAATGACTGTTTTAGTAAGCAATACAAGTGCAGAATCCAGTAACTGCAACTACATAGTACAATGTTTTGCTCACATAAAAAAAATATTCTTGCCAGCGCTCGTGGCTCTGGAGGCTGAGATCTAAAGATCATGGTTCAAAGCCAGCCTGGGCAGACAAATCTGTGAGACTCTTATCTCCAATTATCCAGCAAAAGGCTGGAAGCAGAGGTGTGATTCAAATGGTAGAGCACCAGTCTTGAGCAAAAAAGCCAAGTCAGAGCACGAGGCCCTGAATTTTAGCCTTAGTACAGGCATACACACACACACATATACACACAGTCCTACCCTATCTTTGGAAGAATACTAAACATGTACATCTGAACACTAGATTGATAGGTGGATCAAAATGCACAGCTCAAAATTGTAACCCAAGCTTCCAATAAAATATATAAAGTGGATACATGCAATGCCCTTCATCTATGAGTGTAGGTGTACGTACATACATTTGTGTGTGTATACGTATCTGTAAATTTACAACAACCAAGATCTGGCCAATTACAAGTGCGTGTGAGAAGACATAATGTTTTAAGTGCTTCTGAAGCTCCTTGTGATCCAAGGTTAAGATATGGCTGCAGGGATAAGAAAAGCTGTAATGTGAAATTACATTCATTACAATACCATCCCTGGTGCCCGGTGTCCTTCTGAGAATCATATTTTCATAGAAACAGCATTGTCAAATCTGTCCGGGGAAGAATGCAAGGTTGGTGGGGAAAGGGAAAGATCTGTAACCCAAGTCGGACAGGGAGTGATTTGTGGCATGGGTTCCAGGGCCAAGTGAGCCTCCTTCAAATACACGCTGTGTAACTGTTCTGGAACGCATGTGCCCTGACCATTGCCCAGGAATGTTGTTGAAAGGACTGTGCATGGGAGATTAGACTAGCTAGCCTCAACCACAACATTCCTCCCACTTTGGAGATTTTATAGCTTGTTGTGGGAGCAAAACTGCATCTATTTTGCATACTAGTGGATTAAATCATTCAATTGCCTTTTCTGGGGAAGGAACTCCAGAGTAGAGAGCATCTGACAATCAACCAACCATCTAAGAGAAAATATGCGCTAATATGTAGATGAGTTTGGTGACTAGAAAATGCAATGGTGGTTCAGTACCTCCCTTCCACTCCAGCAGACAAACAACATCCCCAAAAGGCTAGATGTGAAGGTCAGTGGTCTGTCAGTCAAATCTAACCTTGATAGGTATCAGGCAGAGAAACTGATAGCCAGTGGTCATCAGATACCTGCACATAGTTTACAGCTAGGCTGCAGTAGCTACTTCAGGAACATTATAACTGTTCATCAAATAGGCATGTCCCTAGGACAAATCATTGACCTACCATACCAGAATTAGAAGCAATTCATGTTCAACAAAGTCCCAGGTGAATCTTATGCACACTACCTGAGAACATCTGCTAAAGCAGAGCTCCTTGAACATTCCTATCACCTGGATCACTGCTTTCAAGAACTAGGGGTCTGAACTGCTAAGATTCAGCTTCAAAGGTCTGAGATGGGACCCCAGATTTCACATTTCAGACAGTCTCTTGGGTGATGCTGATGCTGCTAGTCAGTAGAACATACTTTGAGTTCATGCCCTAGAGAATTCATAATTCCATTAGCAAAGAACTCTGATACAACAAGAAGCGATCATTTGCCATCTGCTGGGATTGATGTTCTTGGTAACCATTTGCCTCTTTGGTGGGCTGATCCTAGTGACTCACTTATAATACATAGATTAGGCAAAACTGAAGGAATGTCACTTAGACAATTAGGTTATAAAAAGACAGAAACCTTGTTCTTTCTCACTGTTATCTACCTTTCTTGCTTGCTCATGGATGAGGCAAGCTGTTGCCATGTTGTAAACAGCCCCATGAAGAAGCCCACATGGCAAGCGGCTATGGGCAGCTTCTGGCCAAGTACCAATGGCTGACTCCTGACAATTACCTTCAGAATGAGCATAGACATGGATCCTTCTTCAGGTGAACTCAAGATGAGTGTGATCCAGCTGATGGACACCTTGATTGTGGCCTGTGAGCCATCCTCAGCCAAGTGGAGTCACACCTGATTCCTTGCCCTACAGAAACCCTACATCATAAATGCTGTTTCAAGCAAAACCATGTGTGAAGCAGTGATCGGCAACTAATGGAGATGATTTGCAAAGGAGCTACCCTGAAATCAATAAGACATCTTGGTATTTAACCCATTCTTTAAGTCTCCCCTCTTGCTTATTCCCATGAGAAAGGAGACAAGATGTGTGTGTGTGAATGTAAATGGTCAATATTTAATGATGTACACTATTTACATGTAACTTACGACATAGTTTTCTCAATACTCAATTTTCAAGCCTTAACCTTGGGAAAGTTTCCCTAGAGATGTGGGGGGGGGGCTATGTGGGAGCACAGTTTTGAGGTAGGGTGGAGATGGGGTACTCCATCACACCTCAGGGCCTGTGTGTTCAGCCTGGCCTTTCTGAGGCTGTGTCTGTGGAGCCCGGAACCATCGGAATTGTTCCCTGCCAGTCTCTGTGTGAGGAGTGGCACCCCCTTTGGTTTTGAAGAAAGAAAAGAAAGAAACTATGTGCTCCCCCCCGCTGGCAGAGGGAGGGTTCTTTCCCTGAGAAGATTGGTGAGGGTACAACCTGCTTGCCTGCTCACTGGTGTAGTGTCTGGTTTTCTCTCTAGGGGAAGGAAGGAAAGTTCCCTGGGGCACAGTTTCACATTTCCTTCAGAATTGGGTCAAAAGTGTATCTCAGAGACTACTGATATAGAAGAGCCACAATCATGTGCAAAGTCTCCCAGTGCCAACCTGGAAACAGACTTCTCACCAAAGCTCTGCCCTCAGCTCCTTGACCCCTCCCAAGGAGCCCTTTTCTTTCAGTGAGCTGGGCCAGCTGCTGACGTTGGTCTTCCCAATTAGTACATAAGAACCCAGGGACGGGAGGCAGCCTCTGACCATGGCAACTGGTCAGAAACGGGTTGGTTCTGCTCAGAAGGCCAGGCCCCCACTACTCAGCCACCGTGCCCTCTCTGATGAGCACCCCGAGGGACGGCTGTGCCACAGAGGGCTCCGGAAGACGTTGTCCAGCCTGCTCTTAATGGTGTCCTGCAGCTCCTCATCACCCAGCAGGACCGCAGCTGCCAGGGCCAACAGGAAGTACTCCGTGGCGTCATGGGCATCCTAACCCATGGCAGAAGGGAAAGAAGAGACAACATTAGCAACGCTTCTGGAACAGGTTGGAAGGCTTTTCTCTGCCCAATGCCCTGTCCCCAAGTTCTGGTCCCTTAGGGGAGCTGCTCCCCCCCTTCACTATGGCCCCAGTGCCATTGCTGATCACAGTGTTCCCCCTTCCCAGTCACAGAGATGGCATCTTACCCAGACTCAGCCAGTCATCACACATCTAGCCCTAGATACAAATGCTTCAGGGGTGTGTCCATGACCCAAACCTGACCTGTCAGTGTGACCCAACAAATGGCTCCCTATCCTTTGTCACATGGACTGGAGCCTCCCAATAGCTGGAAGGGAAGGAAACCAAGAAACAGAATGTACTAGAAATACAGAAGGACATGGGACATTCTATGGTGTTGGAATGCCAGGAACCAGAACTACCTGAAACCAACTGTACCTTGGCTGTCCAGATACTTAAGCCAAGAAATTACCTGTTCTGCTTGAAGTTGGTTGAGTTGAATTCTTCCTGTTACAATCGATACTGTTCTCGGTGGATGCAATCAGACCATGCATAATTTATCACTGAGTCACTTTTAGGGAGTTTCAGTAGTGCAGAAAGATGGCTAGGGAGTCCCTCACCTCGCCACTCAAGGATGAGAAACATGCTTCTTAGGTGAGTCTCAAGAAGAGAGGTCTGGTTTTCATTTACCCTCATAAGTCAATAATCAGTTCAGGCCAGAAACAAAGTCTGGACAAGAAAAGGAGAGCAGAGCTGACCTGAGTGTCCCCAGGGGGCTAAATAGGCAAGAGCTGGGAGTTATGGTACTAAGAAATGAAAGATTGTGCCAGGGACTAGGGGCCACTGACAAGAAGTCAACCTTGTAGACACAGTTCTAGGGTCAGAACTGGAACATATCTGCAGAAGAACAAGAAGTCCTAGATTCAATTCCACCCAGCAAGCAGGAATACCGATACTAAGGCCTTCTTAGGACTTAAATGTACTCCCAATCAAAGTCCCACACCTCATGATCTCTAACATTTTTGATGGCATACAGGTTTAGATCATCATGAGATGAGTTACAGTTGACTAATAACATTTTGTGAACATACACCTTGATTTTGCTTTTGGAGCCTATAAAGCTTTATGTGGGAGGTGTTCGTGTATTTATGTAGATCCTAAAGGAACTCATAGGCACTTGGCAATGTACCAGGTATATTTAATAGGCACCATGGCCACAGTAATCACAGCGGAACAAGGAGCAGCTTTGGTGTCACCAATGGGACTTATTGGAAGGAGCCATTGTATCCTCCATGGAATTACTCCCTGCTGGATCTGGGCAAACTTTCCATCTTAGCTCTTTGGTCCTCCGCTCAGCTCCACCCCAAAGACTCCTTACCATCCTTGCATAATTGTGATTCAGCAGTCACTTTCACATAGCTGGGAAGTTTGCTCTTACCTTCAGCTGGTAGAAGGTGAGTTGGCCCAGGCGATAATATACTTTGGCATAGTACAACGCCTCCTTGGGGCTCTGCATGCATGGTGGGCAAAGGGACAGGGTTTTCAGGTAGCAGTCTTCAGCCATCTCGTACATGTTCAAAGAGTAGTACACCGTAGCCAGTCGGTGAAAGGCCACCAGCTTCTGCTTCTGATCTCCTAGGAATAGGAAAACTGAGGAGCATGGCCTATAGCCAGAATTTTGTATCCTTCATTCACACATTCACTCTGTAAAACTTTCTGTAGTAGACCAGATGTCAGGGACTGTTTATGGTGCATAGTAAACAACACAGAAGAGGCTCCTGCTCTTGTGAGGCTTATTGTCTCAGAGGACATAGACATTCCTAAAACAATCTTGACCCCCCAAAAACATAAATTTCACCTTAGAAGAGTGCTACCAACGAAACACAGGGATCGCTGAGATAAACTAGTACTATGCATGCTGGTCTTAGATGATTGCCTGAAGAAAATGTTCTCTGCATTGCAGATGGCACAGTAAAATCCTGTGATGGAACATGGTGACAAGACTGGCTTGATTGAACAGCTTAGGAAGCCTTATAGTAAATAACTGTATAATAAATCCCTTCGCCATGCAGTCTCTCCACCAATGAGCAGCCCCTCCCTAGGCAAGACCAGCTCCCACCCCCCTGTACTACAGCGATCCATTTACTTCTACAGCATGCTTTCAGTCTTTGGTTCCTAATGGGCCCATGGTTTGTTATTTTAGACTTAAATGTGTTTATTATTTTAATAACTAATGTCTTTCATCACAAGTGACCTGCCAAGAAACAAAGTCTTACAGTCCAATCCTATCTTTGAGGTATCTTTCAAGGTAGCTGTTGGAGACCATCTAAAAACATCACTTCTAAGCTTCAAAGGGGAAAAGGCCAATTTAAAAAAAAATCCAAAGAAAAGAAAATTCAAAAACTCCCAGCACAGAGGAGCACATGGATAGAAAGTGAACACTCCCTCATTTGGCTCGACAGGCTACAGAGCAGTCGCAGATAGGGCTGAGCCAGGCCCTGAAGCCTTGCCTGTGTTGAGCAGATCCACTCAAATAAGATTTTCTGCAGGAAAGTTAAAGGTAGGAAAAACACGTGGGTGCTCCTGAGTGCAATTAGACACATTTAAGTCCTGCATCATCTCCATTAGATGTCCTTGATAATGCCCAGAAGTCCCTTCCAGAACCATCTCAGAAGATTCCACTTCCCCCTGCATCCAACCAAGACTCTCTAATCACACCAGCTCGCCTTCAACCACTAACACTCGAGTTATTATTTTTTCTTTTTTGTTCTACCTTTGTTCTGTGCAGTAACTTCAACTGTTTCCCACTCGCTTGCTTTCCCTTTAAGGGCAAGCTATTTCAACTATGTAGTGAGTTAGAGAAATGGGAACTTGACCTTCATTTACATTTCAATTTCATGGGAAAATAAGCTTGTGACTAATAATCAAACAACTAAAAGTTCATGTCAAAACCCTTATATAATGGGAGCATTGCCTACCCTTAGGATGAAATAGCATTTACCTCTTACTCAGGAAATAATAGTAACTATGATAGAAGAATTAGTGCAGCTCAGGCAAGGCGATATATCGAAGGACGTGGTAGGGATGCCGTAGACTTCAGAGTGGGTGCTAGTAGTAGTCCTGCTTCTCTAATGAGGAAAAAGGAGGTGAAAACTAAGCAACATGCTTAATTATAGTCTCCTAACTGTTTGACTTGGGGATAGAACCCTGATGCCTGAAGCCTGAGTGGGTGTCCTACGTTCCTAGCCAGCTTTAAGTAGCATTTACCCTTCCTATCCAAAGCACTGCGCATAGAAGACCACTTACCTGTGACGACACTCAGCCTGGCAGCCAGCGTGGCAAATTCCAAAGCCTTCTCATAGCCCTGCAGGCTGATCTGCAGCTCTGTTAGCTTGTTGAAGATTCGGAGCTCTGTCCTCACAGCCTTCATCCTCCTTGCCAAAGGAACAGCCCCAGCCTGACAACAGAGAGGCACAGGGACCTTAGTCCACCTGCTCTCAGAGGCCTGCCCTTTCCTGATTGCCTTTCCTTCAGGGCTGGCTACTGGAGAGCCACATATGCCTTTTCTCAACTGGTTCTTCTGGGCCCTGTTCTTGGTGCTTTTCCCAGATTTCAGAGGTTGAAGATCATCCAACTTCCTAAAATTGAAGCAACTGAGAGCAGAAAAGGGAGCTGGCCCTTCCTTAGGTCGCCTATGAAGTAATTCACTGTATCTCAAATGCTTCCTGAGCACCCACACACACAGAGTTAATACGTGCACATGTGAGCATGCTCACAAGTCAGGAACATATGTGTGAGTGAATGCACTGTGAAACATCACTATGAGCGTGGGAAGTGTCTAAAATCACTGTCAGCATACACAGTGGCTAAGTGCATGTATGACCATGTGCTGTGTCTATAACCACTATAAGCATGTGCAATGTATTCAATGCTCAATAAATGGTCTTTTCCATTAGTTTCATTGTGGTGGGATTTTAGGCAGCCAATCTCTGAGCATCATTTTCTGGTGTATATGAAAATAAATACTTTGCTAGGAGCCAGTAGCTCATGCATGTAATCCTAGCTGCCCAGGAGATATCTGTGGATCATGGTTAGCAGCCAATTTGGGCAGAGAAGTGCATGAGATTTCATGAGTCCCTGACACTCCATTTCTAAGGAACTTGAAAAAAATGCAGGACTGGAAGGGTGGTTTAAGTGGTAGAGAGCCAGCTGTTAGCAAAAATTCCAAGAGACAGCACAAGGCCCTGAGTGCAAGACCCAGTGTTGTCAGGAAAGGGAGGGAGAGAAGGAGGGAGGAGGAGAGAGAGAGATTAAATAAGCACTTGGTCGACAGGGATATGTTTCCTTTACCTTCAAATATTAGTGCCTGATCTTGTCTGATAGCTAAACTGAACAAATAAACTGAGCTAATATCTGAATCAGTAAAATTTTAGAATCCAGTACTACAGATTTCCTGAACTTCAGTCTGTGATGAACAATTGTCACACCTGCTCAATATCTGAACAGTGATTTAATTAGCATTTTATAAGTCAATGCTTATTTTCTTGCCTCAACTTCTGCAATAAACCTGTAAAATCATGGATTTGATGAGCTGGTATTATACATTTTAAATTTTTACAAGTATGTTTTATTAATGCTGGATAAAATCATAACAAAAAGTTTTAGTGTTCACTCACGTACCTCTTACATAGCTCAATGGTCGAATGCTTGCTCGCCAAGAAAAAGGGCTTGAGTTCCATCCCCAGAACCATCAAAAACTTTTCTACCACAGTGGCACCAGAAGGAATGAGGAACGCAGGCAAAGGTGCAAGTGTGCTACACACTGTAAAGTCCTGTGCCCTCAAGAGACATAATTACTAAGGTTTTCTACATGGGAAAGATTATTTCCCAAGCCTCAAAGCGCATAAGAGTGACTAGATTGAAGAGAAGGAGAGCAGGTAAGCACTGGACAAGTAAGGGAAGTAAGGGGAAAACCAGTGAGGAAAGGGAAGAAGGATCTGGGTCATAGTGTGGGCCTGCCCCTGTCAGTGCCCACATGCGCTCTGCACACTTCTCAGATTGTGACTTACCCGATAATATTCCACAGCACGGTGCCTGTGGCGGGTCCCATTGAAAAAGAGGTCGCCAGCTTCTTCGTGGAGCTTGAGGGCCAGGGAGAGCTCCTCCGACGTCAGGGCTGTTTGGATGGCTGCCTGGATGAGACAGAGACTGCTGGCAAAGGAAGAGTGAAGGGCGTCTGCCCCTCCACAGGAATGGCAAGAACAGACCCAGATATTCTGATGTGAGCCTCTGCTAAAGCCCCTCAAATCTAGAATGGCCTCACACATACAGGACTAAGAAGATGCAGCAATTCTTTACCTGACAGTTTCCCATCCTGAGATAGAGAACTGTTTGGGTGGTACTAAAAGTGGTTTTTAACAGTACATAGGTAAACACTTTGTGTCTTGTTTAGTTGGATGGTTGGTTAGTTGGTTTTTGCCAACACCAGTCTTTGAACTCAAAGCCTTGTACTTGCTCAGCTAGTGCTCTACCACTTGATCCATGACTCCAGCCGAAATTTTTGCTGGTTGTTTTGGAGATGAAGTCTCTTAGAAATTTTGGCTTGGGCTGGACTCTATCCTCTGTCTTTGGATCTCAGCCTCCTGAGTAGCTAGGATTATAGGCATGAGCCACTAGTGCCTAGCAACACTTTAATAGTCAAGTATTAGTTTGAATCGGCCTTAGAAAAAAAGACCAATAATACTTCAAGCTAATGATTTCAAACACTATCTTGTAAAGCCAAGCATAAGGGGGGAAAAAGTACCAAATGAAAATAATGAATAATGGTACAGAAAGTTCATGGATGTAGCAAAGCCGTAAACTTAAATTATAAATGACTGAAATTGAGAGGCAAGGAGTTAATCCACTCCTGCACATTCCAGATGGCAAGTAAAATTCCAAAAGAATTCAGAAGCTCCTCCCCGTTCCTGTGAATGCCAAATGCCCATCTCAGCCCCTCAACCTACTGGCTTGGACATTATTCCTCTCAGGTTCTGGCCACAAGTACCTCCTTTATACCCAAGCTGGTAAATTCTCCACACACCTGCAGGTACAGCTCCACTAGCTCATCTTCCTGAATGAGGTAATGGAGGCGTCCAGCCCCCAGCCAGGCCTCTGCTGCCTTGTCTTTCTCCCCCAGGTCGATGAATATGCGCAGGCTCTCCTTGATACAGTCCAGGGACCTCCTGAGGGACCTGAGAGCAGATGTGGACCTGTGAGATACAAGGGATCCAAGGGACTCAAAGGTCATTAGGCTCAGAAGGAAACTGGCCTCTGGAAGGGAACAACCTTGTCCCAGACCACACCAAGAGGTCAGGGCCTGATTTGAATCCCAGCTACACGGGTGACCTTAAGACTATATAAAAACTTCTTTGTACCTGGGCTTCCCCATCCATAAAATGGAAGTACAACTGTCTCTGTCTTAGAAGACTGTTGTAATGGTGAATGATATAATAAAATGAGAATGCTTACAGCAGGGCTCTTCAAGATATGAGCTCTTGATGAGAATTTGGTCCACCGAATGGACTATAATATTTTTTTTTCAAGCAACTAACATAGACACCAAATACATATTTATTAAGAGAATAGATGAATAAGTGACCAGAGTGGTAGCAATTATCATAAAACCAATTTTGATATTTTGTTAAGAAGAAAAATCACAGTAAGGTGAAAGTGGTTTTAATCTAAGTGTGTGCTTTACTTATTCTCTTCTATTTATTTGGAAACTAATTAGGTGATGGTCTTTATTTACAAAATGGTATCACTTAGAAATTTCTCCCATGAGAGAGATTAGTGAGAAAATAAAACATGAATAATATGGGGTTATACTCCCTAATAATTTGAGATTGGGAAGAAATAATGGATCATCTTACAGAGGTGGAGAACATCTGGCCCTCAGCTCATATCAGGACCTTGAAATCATCTGGTACATGATGGATAGACATGTATGCTTCCTTTGGGCTTCCCATATCCATCTATCAGTACTGATCTTGTACAGCCTACAAGTGATGCCATACATATCCAAAGGGCCCTGGGAAGAAAAAGTGTTCCCCATCCCTGATAGTTTTCAATCCCAGCAGCAAGGAGTCACCTGGGGTCTCAGAGAATTTACCCCAGTGTGTTGAAATGACATGAGAGCCTCAGCTTCCATGTGACCCTATTATGCATCTTGTGTTGCTTGTTGGCTGTTCTAGCCCAACCCCCTTATTTATAGAGGAAGTGATGGGAAGTGATTTGCTGAAGGTTGCATGGTACACTACGGATTTACCACTGAGACTGCACTATGAGTTTGATCTCCTTATAATAGTTCAGTGATGACCCACCTCCCCTGCTGAACTACAATAACCATAGGCCTCTTTTACTGTGGGAAGCCCTGTCCATCATCTCTCCCCTCCCCCATACCCCAGGACATTAGCAGGGTTAAGAGGTTAGTTAGCAGGCCTGGCCTCCGCAGCTCTCTCCATCCTCACTGGAATGGTTGATGAAGACAGGACTCATAAATCTCATCCTGATCCAATTTCCTGCTGCGTTTTTGTTTAGTACCATTTTCTATCCTGGGATGTTTTTGAGCTGAAGTTGTTTTCTCCAGACCCTCAGGGAGCAAGACTTAGATTCATACAGATAGACCAACTCACAGAAAGCATTTGTTTTCAGACTGTAGAAGAGCGAAGGAGATATACATTTCTCTCTTAGAAACCCAGCTACACACACCTCAGCAACAAGACACTGTGGAAATGGAGAACTTCCAGCGACAAGTGCATCTTGTCAAGACATACATCTGGCCTGTGATCCCCAGTAAACCACAAGTGTCTTTGTGTTCTAAAGTTGGAAAATGGTCCACAGCTTCATTGAGTCTTCCTACCACTGACACCCAGTCTCTATTGACCATCCTATATCCCCACCAGCTAAACCACATGGCCTGGAATGGCCTGGCATCCCCCAATTCCTCCCACCCTCACCCACAGAAGCTATATCTGCTTTGGCTTCCAATGAAAACAAGTGTAATGTGTAGCAGCAGCCATTCACTCATCAGTCCTGATTTCCTCTCCTTTCAGTCTTGATTCTGCTCTTTTTCTCATTTTTCCTGATTCCCATCTTAGTCTCTAAGATTAAGCCCTTCTGTCATCTTTCTGCCTGCAGTAAGCCTTTAGCCAAGTGACTCCAACATACCTGCATTCCTAGAAATCTTCCTCCCAACCTTCCAGTGCTTTCCAGGTCCTTGGCCCTGCCTGGATGAATCTGACTGATCTCTGGCCAAGGCCAGCCTCTTCTAGATGCTTCTGCCTCTTCTAACAAGAACTGTCACTCTGCCAGAGAGTTGAAGTAGAAACTTTCAACCTACATTTTCTCATTCAATTTCCCTAGAAACTCTAAGCCACTATGGGTCTTAACTCATTTTGCAAATAATGAAGCCCAGACATTTGGAGATTTATTTTTAACTAAGCCAAATTTCCTTGCTGGTCTTTAGAGCATTGTTTTGAGCTCTCACTGTATGGTCTCATATGAATGATGGCAGGTTTACTACTGGGAATTTATTAAATTTATGGTACATGCTAGGAGCTTTATTTACATGCCTTAGCTCATCTCATCATCATAACAGCCCCAAGAAAGCAGTACTGTGTATGCATTTCTCAACAGTGAAATAAAAGTAAAAGAAGGGTATGTAGGAAAATGTAATAATAATACCTGTTTAAACCAGCATTCAACCTAAAAAACAAACTATACAGAGGCAGCTTAGATATCAGCTGTGAGAAGACTTTCGCTTTTTGCTTTTTCGAGATAAGGTCTTCAGATGTAACTCAAGCTGATCTTAGTTTCCTGAATACTAAGATTACAGGCATGTGCCACCACAGCTGACTGACTTTTGCTTTCTTTTACCATTTTTATCATCTCTCCCTTAGAGTTATAAAGGACATAAGAAGTGTAAAACCTTAAAAACAGTTTTCTCATCTATAAAAGTCTGGTGGCTCATGCCTGTAATCCTAGCTACTTATAAGCTAAGATCTGAAGATCACCATTAAAACCTAGCCCATGTGGGACAAACCAAGAGAATCTGACCTCTAACTGACTACCAAAAGAAGCTGAGAGTAAAGTTGAGGCTCAAGTGGTAGAGCACTCACTAGTCTTGATGGGGGCGGGGAGGCGGGAACTCAGGGACAGCATCCAGGCCCTGAGTTCAAACACCAAGACCAGTGTATACACACACACACACACACACACACACACACACACAGAGGTAGTAGTGGAACATCACAACCTAGGGATCAAGTGAGGACATAGCAAAAGCAACTGTTTCTTTGCTTAGGGTTACAGAACTGTGAGAGATTAGTTACTTTAGTTGTATTGAAAAACCAAATGTTGAAACATGTTTTTCCATTCCACAGAAATAAAAAGTGTAAGGATAAGAATAAGTTCTAGGAGTAGGAGATTTCAGCCTGCTAGTATATTCACATGTAAAGAATTATTATTCCACAAGGACCTATTGCACGCAAGGCATTTCCTGTTTCTAAAATTATTATTATTAGCTGGATGCTGGTAGATCACATCTATAATCCTAGCTACTATGGAGGCTGAGATTTGAAGATTGTAGTTTGAAGCCAGCCTTGGCAGAAAAATCATTGAGACTCTTATCTCCAATGAACCACCAAAAACATTGGAAGCAGAGCTGTGGCTCAAGTGGTAGAGGGCTAGCCTTGAGCAAAAAAGCTGAGTGAGTCTTGAGTTCAACCCCCAGTACCAGCATAAAAATAAAATAAAATAAATAGTATGTGTATCCTTTGTGGCACTTTGTAGACCTTTGGTGCAATTCCTCTTTCCTGTACTATTTATTCTGTGAGCTTTGTGAGCTCCAGGACTAGAACGCCCTTATCTGATTTTGAGCACAGTATGTGACCATAGTAAATGCTTAGTAAATATTTGTTGAATCAATCCAAGGAAGCCATAAAGTTCTCATGGGGCCCACCACCAGGTGAACCAGGATAAGGTCCAGAACCAGGTCTGTGTGTATCATTTGGACACAGAAGTGCCCCATCAAGAGATCAAAAGCTTTGTCAAATTAGATTCTGTAGTTATGACCAGGATGTAGAAAGGACATGAATCTGCAGTTACTGGACAAAGGGACAACAAAGTATCCCTTAGGACTGCGCCCAACTTTTCAGCACATACTTGTCCTCCCTTATTATTGCCTATCCCTAAACTCCAGAGAAAAGCATTCAAATAGGAAGAATTAAAACCAACAGAAAGGCCATACAGGGGAGTACAAACCATCTTAAGTTGAAATGTCAGGGATCTGAGCTAGTACCAGTGAAATCAAGCAAGATCATCAGTCTAGACTCTCTGTAACAATCATAGATGATAGACAATATTTTTTTTTAAATGAGGCCCTTCTCACCGACATAACCCTATGAGGTTTTTGGTATGAGCTCAGTAGAAAAGTAGCCAAAAGTAGACAATCAGGGAATTAAAGCCTGTGCCGCTTGCAGACGGCAAGATAAGCTGATAAACCAAACCTGCCTGACAATCAAATGGGTTCCAGAGAGTATAAAAGAATGAGGAAGTACAGAGGACAAACAAATGAGGAAATTGAATGGGACAGTAAATCTTTGGTGTCTGAACCTTAAGGAAACCGAAAAGAAACATGCCAATCAGAAAGCCATCCAGTTTTCACTATTCAACCCTAGGTCAAGCTCTGCAATAGGGAAGACAGTTGAAGACAGCCCAAAACAGCTGAGAAGCACTGAACCGCCATCTTCTCATGATACATTAATGCCACATGCTCTTTCTGTCATATTTCTCTTCCAATAAACTTTTCTGTCATCTTCAAGTATTACCTGAATTCTTTTCTTGCCAGGCACAAGGGCCAAAGTGTTTCTCTCCCAGTTTTTCCTTCCCATCCCCACCTACAAGTTGAATAGTTCATTTTCAACATAGTATCTAGTGAGTATGACTGCTATATTTGTTCACCCTTTGTCCAACAATTTCTGTGCTCCCCTTTACCCTCCCAAAGACAAATAAACTAACAAATAAAAGACAACAGAAAGAGCAACAGCAAAAACCTTGTTTCTACTTCTTGGGGTTCAATAAGTATTATTTTATATGATCATATGCACATAGCTATTGAGCCTTTGTGATCTGCTCCTAAAAATAGCCTCCTTTGATCTTACTGTGTGAATGTCTAGAAACCTGTATAATTTAT